CAGCTTTGCAGGGCTGGGTCCGAGATCGGGCGTCGCAGCTTTGCAGGGCTGGGTCCGAGATCGGGCGTCGCAGCTTTGCAGGGCTGGGTCCGAGATCAGGCGTCCAGCTTTGCAGGGCTGGGTCCGAGATCGGGCGTCGCAGGGTGGGTTACTACTGAGGCCGTGAGGGGAGTCTGCTCAGGCCTCTCCCTGGCTTCTGGGGGCTGCTGGTGGTCTTGTCAGTTCCTTGGTGTGGATACTTCTCCCCATCTCTGCCTTCACCTGTGTCCTCCCTGTGTGGGTGCTGGTCTCCAAAATTTCCCCTTTTTGTAATGACACCATCTGTGTTGGATTGGGGCCCACCCTCCTCCAGCGTGGCCTCATCTTAACTGATTACATTTGCAAGGATCTTATGTCTACAAAAGTCACAGTCTGGGGTGCTGGGGGTTAGGACTTCAATATATAAATTTTGGGGTTACACAGTTCAGTCCATGCAGAACCCAAAGGCTTACTCTTACTCTGGTTATAAAGACAGTACAATAAAATATTGTTTAGAGCCTTCCCTGTAAGGAATAGAAGAGCTATTTTTTATTCTTCCCAAGATTGTATTTGATGTAAACATTTTCTGTAGAAACCATGGCCCTTCAGTTCATATAGTTAGAAAATTTCCTTATTGGCCGGGCACGGTGGCTCACGCCTGTAATCCCAGCTACTTGGAAGACTGAGGCAGGAGAATTGTTTGAACCCGGGAAGTGGATGTTTCAGTGAGCTGAGATCATGCCACTGCACTCCAGCCTGGGCAACAGAGCAAGACCCCGTCTCAAAAAAAGAAAAGAGAAAATGTGCTTGTTACAGTCTCAGGTTTCTCTTGCCCTCTCTGCTAGCAGTGTGGATGGTTGGTTGGGAGCTTCGTGTCCCGTCTCAGCACACTCAACGCTCTGAAGTGAAAGTGAGGAAGGGCAGGGATGGGGGCACCTGAGCACACCCTGGGCCCTCTGACCTCAGACCCAGGCTCTGCCCCACCAGGTGACCTTGGGCACCTTCTCTGAGCTTCCATTTTCTCCTTGGTAAAGGCGGGTAATAGTGTCTGCCCTGCACACAGATGTGAACACGGAAGCACATGGTGCCTGCGGGGCACGGGAGTGGTGCACAGGGCTCACTGCTGTTGGGAAATTGATCGCTGTTGTGAAAACAGGAGGTTACTTACAGAATGAAGCACATTTTTTTCCATACACTACAAATGAGTGTGTGCTTTTTAAATGGATTTAAAATTCAAATGCAAATCTCTAGTTTAATCTCCCATGTGCTGATTTTTCCATGTATAAAGTAGTAGAGTGTTAACACCATACCAGAGTGAGGGGCTAGGGAGAACATGTATGTGACCTCGAGTACCTGGCATGTAACAGACACTCAGTATTATACTCCGGATATTTCTCCAGAGCAGGTGAAACAGACGGCCAGGAAGCAGACAGAAAGACATCACTGCTCGTTAAGGAAGTGCAAATCAAAACCACAGTGAGACGCCACTTCACACCCACGAGTTCGGCTAGATACAAAACGTAGATCACAATAAGCATTTGCAAGGATGTGGAGAAATTGGAGCCCTCACACACTGCTGGTCGGAAAGTGATAACAGGCAGGTCGGTCGTCAAAAAGTTAAACAGACTGGGTGCAGGTGTCTCAAGCCTGTAATCCCAGCACTTCGGAAGGCTGAGGCAGGCAGATTGCTTGAGCCCAGGAGTTCACGACCAGCCTGGGCAACCTGGTGAGATCCTGTCTCTACAAAAACTACAAAACAATTAGCTGGGCATGGTGGTACGTGCCTGTGGTCCTAGCTACTTGGGAGGCTGAGGCAGGAGGATCACTTAAACCCAGGAGGTCAAGGCTGCAGTAAGCCATGGTTGTGCCACCGCACTCCAGCCTGGGCAACTGAGCAAGACCCTGTCTCAAAAAAAAGAAAAGATAAACATGGTGTTACCGTTTGACCCAGCAGTTTCATACCCAGGAGAATTGAATGCGTGTGTCCACACAGAAACTCGTACACAGAAGCCAAAATGTGGAAACCAAGTGTCCCTCTAGAGATGAATGGTTAAACAAAATGTCCATCCGTAGAATGGAATATTATTCGGTCATAAACAGAATGAAGTACTGACACATGCTACAACGTGGGTGAACATTGAAATCATTAGGTTAAGTGAAAAGCCAGTTACTATATATTGTGCAATTCCATTTATACAGAATTTCTAGACTAGGCAAATCCATAGAGACAGTTGAGTGGTTGCTTAAGACTGGGAGTGAGGGGGAAATAGGAGGGGACAGCTAATGGGCAGTTTCAGTTTTGACATAACGAAAACGTACTTACATCAGCAGAGCAGGCAGAAAACGTGCCCTAAGACGGTGGTAATGGTACAGTTCTGTCAATGGCGTAATTGGTGGATGATGTGTGAGTTATGTCTCTTGTTGATAACAGCTTCATTGGCTGTTACCAGAAAAAGATAATTACATCCCACATTTGTAAGTTTATCGTGTATTTATTGTAAACGTGTTGCGTATTGTATTAGTCTGCCCAGGACTGCCATAACAAGACTTCAGATTGGGTGGTTTAAACAACACACTTGTTTTCTGGAAGTCCCAGATCAAGGTGCCGGTCCGTGTGATTTCTGGGGAGGGCTCTCCTTGGCTTGCTGATGGCCACCTTCTCTGGGGCAGGGACGGGGAGAACAGGTGAGCCCCTGGCGTGTCTTCTCAGAAAGACGAATCCTGTTGGATGAGGGCCCCACCCTCAGGACCCCTGTAACCTTAATGACTTCTGTAGAGGCCCCATCTCCAAACACAGTCATGCTGCACTTAGGTCTTCAGCTGTTCAGGGAGACATAGATGTTCAGTCCGTAACTCCTATCAGGTGTAGTAAGTATGTTCACCCTTGATTTTAATAACTTTCTCATTGGTGCTTTGTGGCTGCAGTGCAGTTGAAATCATGATTTGGACTCTGTATTTCAAGTTTGTCTCATTATGTACCTACTGTCTACCTTGCCCTGACCTAAGTGCTTTGCAAGCAGTTTTCTTAAATCCTTACAACCACCTACCAGGTAGATATTTTACAGAGAAGAAAACCAAAGCTTAGATTTCCCCAGGTTACAGCCAGCAACAGAGGCTAAGAGTTTGAAACCTAGGCCTGCATGGCTGCCAAGCTTTGCCTTGTCTGTGGCACTGTGGTGCTTTAGTCAGGTTGTATTAACTGCATTCTCTGTGGCACTGTGGTGCTTTAATCAAGTTGGATTAACTCGCGGCTCTCTGGGTACCTAGTGAATTCTATGTCCCATCTTCCCAGGATGGCTTCTAGGCAAAGTCCAGAAATTACTTGTGGCAGCTAATGCAGGCGACAAGCCCCTAGGTACAGAATAACCAAGTCCCCTAGAGAAACTGGCAACGTGTACACAAAGAAGTAGACGAGTAGTGCAGCATTGTTTGGAAACAATACTAGTCAAATACAAAGTAAATCATCAGAGGACTGTTAGGCAGCAGTTAGCCACTGACCTAGAGCCACACGTGTCGACGTGAATCTCAGTACTGAACAAAAAAGCAAGGGGCAGAAGGCTACATAGAGTGTGGGGCCGCTGTCACACTGCTTTAAGACTCAGAACAGACGTCGGAAGGTTAAGATGCCAGTGTGTCTGCAGGAAACCTGGTTAGGTGTCTGGGGGAAGACTGCCTCTGCTCTGAGCTCACAGAGAAGGGATGAGGACTTCAGTCCACCAGCAGAATCAGAGCGCTGCCATCTCTGCCCACCTGAACAGACCACACCCAAAAACTACAATGCAGGGTGAAGTCACGGCTCACCAGCTTTCTGACCTGGAGGTTCAGAAGGTCCCTGGGGAAGATCCGCGTGGGCACAGGTGGGAGGACCTGTTCTACGTGGGCACGATTCTGAATCGTTTTTTCTATGTCGTTTTTACTAATGGCTTTAAACATGCCTCTGATCCTAGCCTTCTTTTGTGGCGTGTTTACATTCAGCATCAGAAGCTGTGAGAATGTCTGCAGTGCCCTCATGAGGTTCGGGTTGCACTGGGTGGCCCAAGATGCCCTGCAGAGGAGGCACTTTGGGAGGCCGAGGCGGGTGGATCACCTGAGATCAGGAGTTCGAGACCAGCCTGGCCAACGTGGTAAAACTCTGTCTCTACTGAAAATACAGAAATTAGCTGGGTGTGGCCTTGAATGGTGGCTCACGCCTGTAATCCCAGCACTGGGAGGCCAAAGCGGGTAGATCACCCGAGGTTGGGATCAGCCTGGCCAACATAGTGAAACCCCGTCTGTACTAAAAATACAAAAATTAGCTGGGTGTGGCCTGGCATGGTGGCTCACGCGTGTAATCCCAGCACTGGGAGGCCAAGGCGGGTAGATCACCCGAGGTTGGGAGTTTGAGATCAGCCTGGCCAGCATAGTGAAACCCCGTCTGTACTGAAAATACAAAAATTAGCTGGGTGTGGTGGCGCATGTCTATCATCCCAGCTACCTGGGAGGCTGAGGCAGGAGAATGGCTTGAACCCGGGAGGTGGAGGTTGCAGTGAGCCAAAGTCATGCCATTGCACTCCAGCCTGGGCGACAGAGCAAGACTCCACCTCAAAAAAAGAAAAGAACATTTGGATATTTATTCCTGGCAGTTTTCATGCAGCACAGAGGCAGCAATTCCCATAGTGAACAAATACGGGATTGTATGTTTCAAGATGAAAGCAATCAAAAGATACGCAAAAGGTTGACATAGTTTCCCAATAACCTTACCATTTGTTGTTTAATAGAATTTTCAATGCCAGCTTGCACCATTAAGTCACTGACATTCTTCTGTAAGTCCTCGATGCGGTTTCCCATTTCTTCCAGTGCAGTGTTAAGGAGTTCTGTGTAGAGCCGTGGGGGCACAGCCAGGATGTCCTCAGAGACCCCGCCTCCCGTGGCACCTGCCGTCACCGTGCTCGTGGCAAAGCCACGGCAGATGCAACTTTTAAAACGAGGGAGGCCGGGCGCGGTGGCTCAAGCCTGTAATCCCAGCACTTTGGGAGGCCGAGACGGGTGGATCACGAGGTCAGGAGATCGAGACCATCCTGGCTAACACGGTGAAACCCCGTCTCTACTAAAAAAAAAAAAAAACTAGCCGGGCGAGGTGGCGGGCGCCTGTAGTCCCAGCTACTCGGGAGGCTGAGGCAGGAGAATGGCGGAAACCCGGGAGGCAGAGCTGGCAGTGAGCTGAGATCCAGCCACAGCACTCCCGCCTGGGCGCCAGAGCGAGACTCCGTCTCAAAAAAAAAAATAAAATAAAATAAAAATAAATAAATAAATAAATAAAACGAGGGAATCAACGACAGGCCTAGTGTCTGCAAATTAGCTTCTTTCCCTGAGTTTTCCTCAGTGTGTCCCTTTAACCTTTAAACCGTGAGCTTAGAAAACGTGGCTCCCTTTGCTTGGACATGGATTTGGGGACAGGAGATCGGTGTATTTTAGTCAAACTCTGGGTGTGTAAAAATAACTGTAATGGAAATTAACTCTTTTTTGTCTGTTCGTAGGGTCTTGCCCTGTCCCTAGGCTGGAGTGCAGTGGTGTGATCACAGCTCACTGCAGCCCTGAACTCCTGGGCTCAAGCGATCCTTCCGCCTCAGCCTGTTGAGTAGCTGGGACTATAGACTACCACCCAGCTGAAATTAACTCTTGAAAAAACTAACATTCATATGGTTTAATTTTATGTTTAAGACTCATTTTTGTTCTGTGGGAACCCATTTACAAAATCTAAAGTTGCAAGCACACAATATTGAAGGAATACATTTAGTTGCGTAGCATGAGCTCAAATTGGGCGAGTCTTGGGGCAGTTGTTACCCTCATCTAGATTTGCTCCAACTCCAAAAAAACATTCTATTCTCATTCCGTTTGATTTCATGTTTCTAAGACAAAACAGAGAGTTGATGAAGTTAAACTAAACGAAACCAAGCTTGGGAGAGCCGTATCTCGGATCCGGCCCTGGAGCCTTCAGTGTTACCCTCTGTGGGGTCTGATTCCGTCTGAGGGCCTGTGGTCTAGGGTGCACTGTCCGGGGGGACTGATGGAAGCCCCACTGGGAAGTGTTGCATGTTTGGGTTCTTGTCCTTTATACCTGCCGCACAAGACACCCTGTGTTGCCAGTCAAGCAGGAGGTGAAGCTTTTTTTTTTAGAGAGTCTCGCTCTGTCGCCCAGGCTGGAGGCGCGATCTCGGCTCACTGCAAGCTCCGCCTCCCGGGTTCCCACCATTCTGCCTCAGCCTCCCAAGTAGCTGGGACTACAGGCGCCGCCACCACTCCCGGCTAATTTTGTTGTATTTTTAGTACAGACGGGGTTTCACCATGTTGGCCAGGATGGTCTCGATCTCCTGACCTCGTGATCCGCCCGCCTTGGCCTCCCCAAGTGCTGGGATTGCAGGCGTGAGCCACTGAGGCCGGAGGTAGAGCTTTGGCTACAGGTGAGGGGTAATTAACACATCAGGAAGCCACCGTAAAAGCACAGAAGTAAATACTGGGAAATCCTGTAAGTAAACTATTACCTGCTACTAGCAGACAACAAAAAGACACTCCATGACAATCTACCAGTCCGAAAGAGTCAAGGCATTTGTTAAAGGTAGAAAAGGATATTTCTGAGGTTTAATGTTGCAGTCAGAGCTTGAAAATGTTCCTGAAGTTCCTGAAATAGATTTTCTGCCTGAAAAATAAACCATAAGACAATTGAATAAATATTTACTATTGGCATATGACTTTTTTTTTTTTTTTGAGACGAGGTCTTGCTTTGTTGCCGAGGTTGGAGTGCAATGGTGCGATCTCAGCTCACTACAACCTCCACCTCCTGGATTCAAGTGATTCTCCCACTTCAGCCTCCCTAGTAGCTGGGATTACAAGCGTGTGCCACCACGCCCAGCTGATTTTTATACTTTTAGTAGAGACGGAGTTTCACCATGTTGGCCAGACTGTTCTCGAACTCATGACCTCAGGTGATCTGCCTACTTTGACCTCCCAAAGTGCTGGGATCACAGGCATGAGCCACCACACCCGGCCCACGTATGACATTTTAAATATCATGGGATAAACCCTTCCATAAATCTGTTGACTTCAGACAAAGGTGTCAAGGTCTTTGGATTCAGAGGGAAAGTCTTTTTTTTTTTTTTTTTTGAGAGGGAGTCTGGCTCTGTGGCCCGGGCTGGAGTGCAGTGGCCGGATCTCCGCTCACTGCAAGCTCCGCCTCCCGGGTTCCCGCCCTTCTCCTGCCTCAGCCTCCTGAGTAGCTGGGACTACAGGCGCCGCCACCGCGCCCAGCTAATTTTTTTTGTATTTTTAGTAGAGACGGGGTTTCACCGTGTTAACCAGGATGGTCTCATTTCCCAAATGGTCTTGGCCTCCCAAAGTGCTGGGATTACAGGCGTGAGCCGCCGCGCCCGGCCGGGAAGTGTTTTCAACAAGTAGCGCCGGAATCATGAGGGCCAGGTGCAGACTGGGCAGGGACCCGTCCCCCTCCTCACCCCACACACCATGGATGCAGGAGGATCACACCTTGGCCCAGAGCCAGACCATAAAGTATGCAGAGGAGGACGCAGGTGAAAATCTCGTGACCCTGCGCTCAAGAATTCTTCTAAAATTACTTACCAGGTTATACAGAAATATCACCATTGCTACTTAAAGCGTTTCCTGTTTATATACTGCTTTGTAGTTTACAGACTGGTGTCCCACACTATTCATGGTGTAATCCACTCCTCACACCCTGCGACTGTGTCCAGGGTGAGATGAGAACAGTGATGCTGAGAAGCACAAAATTCTCCCAGCTGGGGGTTCAAGATCCCAGGGAGCCCCACGTACCATAGTGTGAATCTAGAATCCCGTGGACATAGGAAGAGGCGCCACCTCTGAACCATGCCAGGGCTTTCTACCCTTGTCAGGAAATTTACATGAGGGTTTGCACAACGCCCAACGCATTCCTGCAAATTCCAGCTCTCTTCCTCAGCCAGTCTTCCTGTGGGCCTGGAACTCTCTTGGCAAGTAGAAAAGCCCGGGGGGCGGGAGGATTTCCGGGAAGAGGCTGGAGCCCTGGGCGCTGCGACACTCGTGGGTCGCCTCTGAAGGGGCCTTCGGGCACCCTTTGCCCGAGCTGTTTCCCCACCGACCCGACCTCAATGCCCCCCAGAACTGCAGGGCTCCCCCCAGGGCCTCAGGGCCCCCCGAGGACCACAGGGTCCCTCAGAACTGCAGGGCTCCCCCCAGGACCTCAGGACCCCCCAAGACCGCAGGGTCCCCCACGTCTTCAGCTCCCCCCGCGGGACCACGGGCCTCCCAGGCACTCAGGACTCCTCAGGACCACAGGACTGGTCAGGACCGCAGCCTCCCCAGGACCTCAGGGCCCCAGGAAGCCCGCAGGGCACCCCCAGCACCGCAGGCTCCCCTACCAGGACCTCAAAACCCCCCAGAACTGCAGGGGCGCCCCCAGCCAGGGAGGAGCAGGAGTGGGG